AGTTATCTCTCTACTATAATCACTGTAACTTCATTCAGAAATATTTATTATAAACTGATTATAGCTCTGACAGAATTTTCTGATATCTGAAGTTATCAGAATACAGATAATAAAAGAAAAATAATCAGAAAATTACTACTGAGCTGATAAGTTACTCTATCAGATAATAATTTTTAATAATACTAACTTTCTAATTTGAAGAAAATTATGTGAAAATAATTATATATTAGTACTCTGATTTTATAACTCTTATCTGATAACTTCTGTGAATAATTACTTTGCATGTGTATATCTCTGAATCTTTCTTCTTAATCAATTGAAAATTCTGAATTCTGAACACTTCTTCAAATACTTAATTTAAATCTTCATATTTCATATTGATTATGTCTTCAGTTAAATCTTAAGATACACTACAAAGCTAATATACAATATCTAGAATCAGAGTTAAAAAATCATTGAAGAGTGGTTCTTAAAGTAAAGGTATAAACTAGTATAAATAATCTTATATTTATAAGAGCTACATGTTATTATATTGATAAGAACTGAACTTATTAAGAGATATTAATTGATTTTAAATCATTAATCAGTAGTTATACTGAGAATTATATAACAGAGATATTAATAACTGTGATTAAAAATAACTATTGAGATATTAGTCTCAGTGTTCTTACAATTATAAGTGATGATGCTGTGAGTAACTATACTATAATAAAGAGCTTGAAGTAAAAATTGACTATGTATTTCTGAAATAATAAATAAGATTATATTCTGTATATTACTTATATAATTCAACTTATGATATAATTACTAGTAAAGAATCTTGATATTAAGATGAAGAATAATAAGATAGCTGATTCTTGAAATGAGAATGAGATAAAGTAGTTACTCAAGTAACTTTTGTATTCATATTATAAAAGATAATATTTTTTAATAACACTTTTTAATATTGCTTTTTAATAACACTTTTTAATAATACTACTGCTAATTTTAAATAGATTGAGTAATAATTTAAATATCACAGATTTAAAACATTACTAATATAATTTATATCTTCTTTAAATAATAATAATAATTTCATAATATTTAATAAATAAACAAATCAGTCATATCACTGAATATGATATAGAATGTTAGAATATAGTGAAGTTCAATATATAAGATAGCTGTTCAAACTCTTTGATTATATCTAATAATTAATCATTGAGTGTAATACTCTGATTGAGAAAAGATTCAGATATTAAAACTTTCTGATATAAAGTAAACTCAGTTAAAATATGTAATTAATTTACTGTTTCAGTTTTATAAGATAATAAAGATAGTTTCAATCACTTGTATATTAATACTGCAGTCAGTCTGATAAGTGTATAAGAGTTTATTTACTTATCTTGAGAAGCAGTTGAATCACTTAAAAAGAAATTCAGTCTGAGATAATATTATAGTACAGACTATTATTGCTGTAAGAGATAAACTAGTATATTACTACAGTAAAACTGAACAATCTTTTATAGAGTACTATACTATAGCAGCTCTACTAGATCTCTTCTATTAAGTTAATATCTACACTTCTCAAGATTGAATAGAGAAGAAATGAGACTTATATATTAAATTAGTCTGAGACTACTACAATGTCAACTATCAGAGATTTAAATGAGCAGATATTTGAGATGTGAAGACAGTGAAATACAATTCTCTAGTAAATAATAATCTTTGATAACACTTTATATTATATAGAACTATAATACTAACTTTGAAACAGAACTTGTATACATTGATTATAACTGAAAATCAGATAAAACTATATACTTGTAAAACTGAATTTAACTGCTATCTTCAAGATGATCTGATGAATTTATACATTAAATCAATTCTAGAGTTATAAAAAATTATTAAGAGTATATATTCAACTATTGTACTGATGATATGTGATATTCTGATAATTTCATTAACAGAGATAAGAATGAAGTGAAAGTTCAACTCAAGTTGAGATATTTATTACTATCACTGAGAACAATTATAAGAAGAAATAATCAAGAAACTCATGATTATAAAATATGAAATTATCAGACAGTTTAATACCTCTGATCACAGTATATCAGAGAAGTATAGTTTTCATAAGAAAGTGAAGAATAAACTTATACAAGAATGTATTTAGTTGTTTCATGAGTATTATCAATAATCATTATCAAATTCTGATTATATAAGCAATCACTGAATGAACTGAATGAGACTGATTTTAATCTTTAGTCTCAGTCTCATTCTGATTTTGAAAGAATGATCATCTTTCACAGTTTATTCTGAGAAATTACTCTTATTTCACTGTTCTTGAATTAAATCTGATCATTTTTCACATCATTTCTCTCAGAAATGATTCATTTTCAGATTTTTTTAATGCTTGATTCTGATGAGACTCACATCAAGAAATATATGAGATGAGATTAAATAAGATTAAATGTGAAATTCATAGTTCTGCTGATCAGTCTAGTTGAGACCAGGTTTTTATACTTTGCTATTTAAATGTCATGAACAACTGAAAGAACAGTATCAATTGCAGAACATTGTTTTCTACTTTTAATTTATTTATTAAATAGAAGAGAATTACTAATAGAGCTAATAAAAGAAAATCTAGTAGCTATTATCTTTTCTAGAAGTTTTCTTCAACAGTTTAACAGAGATATTACTCTATATAACTTAGAAATTGACGCTTTTCTATTAGATTTTACAAGAATTACTTCAGTAGCTTCTCTTCAGCATTCAGAATGATAATCATTTTTTAAAAGATTGAAAAAGAGCTTAAAAGATTCATTCTTCCAGTAGAAATATATATTATAAATAATCAAGTGATTGATTGAATCAGGCCCTGCAGCAGTTTCAATTGAACTTGAGAATATAGCTGACTGTAGTTCATCATGTGTAAGCTCAGATTATTCTCAGTTATTTTCATCAATATATTCATAAAATGATATATTTGTAGACTGGCCGCTGAGACTATGAATTTCACGTTTGATCTCATTTAGTCTGATCTTATATATTTCTTAATATGAGTCTCACCAGAATCAAGCATTAAAAAAACCTGTAAATGAATCATTTCTTTCAGAAATGATGTGAAAAATAATCAGATTTAATTCAAGAACAGTGAAATAAGAGTAATTTCTCAGAATAAACAGTGAAAGATGATTATTTTTTCAAGATCAGAATGAGACTGAGACTGCAGATCAAATTCAGTCTCATTCAATTTATTCAGTGATTACTTATATAATTAGAATTTGATAATGATTATTAATAACACTCATGAAATAACTAAATACATTCTTATATAAGTTTATTCTTCACTTTTTCATAAGAATCACACTTCTCTGATATACTGTGATCAGAGGTATTTAACTATCTGATAATTTTATATTTTATAATCATGAGTTTCTTGATTGTTTCTTCTTATAATTATGTCTGATAATAGTAATAAATATCTCAGTTTGAGTTGAAGTTTCACTTCATTCTTATCTCTGTTAATGAAATTATCAGAATATTATATATTATCAGTGCAACAGTTGAATATATATTCTCAATAATTTTTCATAACTCTAGAATTGATTTAATGTATAAATTAATTGAATTATCTTGAAAATAGTGATCAAATTCAGTTTTACAAGTATGTAGTTTTGCCTGATTTTCAGTTGTAATTAATATATATAAGTTCTATTTCAAAGTTAGTATTATAGTTTTATATAATATGAAGTATTATCAAAGATTATTACTTATTAGAGAATTATATTTCACTGTCTTCACATCTCTAATATCTGCTTATTCAAATCTCTGATAGTTGACATTGTAGTAGTGTAAGAATAAGTGCTCGCAGGCGATTATTCGGGTGTTTGCAGCTTGGCGTGATATGTACTGTTAACTACTAGAAGTGTTCACAGTAGGAAGATAAATGTAGAAATCAAATGTATTATAGCATTCAAGCTGAGTTATGAATAGTATTCGCGAATTCCAGTCTATATAGTTGTGTGTAGCCAAGGGCCGCTAGCCCTATTGGTTATGCAAGAGATAGGAATAGGGGTAAAGGATCCGCGAGAAGCGGGATTTCTTACATATCCCCCCCTCTCTAAGGCTTTGTCCACAAAGCCTTTCACTGAGTGACTTCATAGTCAGCTCAGCACTGCAGTGATACTCACTAAAAACTCTTCACATCTATAAAAAATCTCAGTGAGAAAAAATCCCTTGTTACTGTGAAGAGAAAAGAGTCTGTCACTCAGTTTCTTATTTCATAAGATTCTTTGTGATCTACAGATTCTTCTCTAACTATTACACAGATTCATCTCACATCTTCTATACAGAAGAGTTTCAGTTGACTCTTAATCATTTTCATGAGATTCTTATATGATTATTATATAGATTCATCTTGCAGATGAATCACTCTCTGTGAGATCACTCTTATTAAAGAGAAACATTTATAAGTTGATCTTTTATTCATTCTTGTAAATCATTGCTCTTTGACACTGTAGAATTGTGAGGAATTTTCCATTCTTTCATTAACTCTGTAGAATTATAGAATCAAGATATCTACAGTCTGTAATCACTCTTTGTAGTTATATAGAAAGATTCAGATCTGTAATTCACAATCACTCTTATTTACTAGAGTGATCTGACTGTTCTACAGAATCACTCACAGTGTAAGCAAATCTCTCTAAAGTAGTATAAATATTCCAGATCTGTCTGTGAAATCTCATCTTCTTTTCTCTTTTTCTGTAACAGCTCTCATTCTCATAAACTGTGAGTATTCTCATTCATTCATGAAGTATTTTTATTCAGATGACAGAGAGAGAGTGTTTCTGACAATGTCTGTATATTGATTCAAGAACTTCTCAAGAATAAAAATTTTTTCAATTTCAATATCTTTATAAACAATGTCTGATCACTGCTGAGCTTCTTGTGAGCATTTCTGTGACTTCTCTGATCACTTTTTATCAGCTGGTGAAGCAGGGGCACTGCTGCTCACAATCATGTCTTCATTCTCTTTAGCCTCATCACTGCACCTGATCTTCAGGCCAGCAACTCACTTCATTTCTTTCTCAGACCAGTCTCTGACTTCAAGCAGTGCAGTCCTTCTCTTTGCTGTAAGTCTTCTTATAAGTAATTCCTTATAGATTCTAGCTGACAGTTCTTATAAAGCTCTCAGTGTTGTCAGTGTCTTCTACAGTTTCACAGGTCTATAATCACCTTCCCTCTGCCTGCACAATCTCTGACCAGGCATATGTAAATATGTCTAGGTTCTCTATCAATGGTTCTTGTACTGTGGTGCATTTCTGCAATCTCATTGTCAATGAGAGATGAGTTCTCAGGTACCTGTAAAATCCAGGTAATCAAGGCAATGCAAATGCTATGAATTCATAACAGAAGTTGATCTGAGCAGATGAGCTCTCTCTCTGCATTCTCATTGTTTCCAGACTGAATACTTCAGCATAACTGAGAGAGTGAACACAGCTTTATAAGAGATATCTGATCACACACACAGATGATCAGTTTTCAAGACTCTGCTACAACTGTATATACTCTGATGTCCAGCTTCTCTGAAGTCTGTACATTTCTGACAGTCTTCACATCAAATGTAACAATTGTCTGTATCACAGATATAATACTCTCTGCTTCTTTGAAGAGAAAAATTGATAGTTGTGAAGAGATTGAGTGTTATGAATGTTGATAATGTGAGTGTGAGTTTTCTTTATTTTTTCTTTATTAGTCTCTAAATTGCATTCACAGCTCTGTTTATTTTCTTGTTTTTTAGCTTTAATAAGAACATGTTTTCTTCTTCTCTTGTATATACTGCAGACTATTCATTTCAGTAGAAACTCATTATCTTATAGACTAGGATTTATAAATAACAGTGTTAATATCTTTATTATAATCAGATTCTTAGTGAAGATCATGTCATTCTGACTTATCAGAATTCACAGTATGAAAGTTATGTCTCAGCTTCTGTAGATATCTTATCTGCTCAGATAATTCTCAAGTGAACTCATTTATCTTATCAGAATACTCTTATCACTGAATCTTGAATCAGAGCTCATGATCTCACTTCTCTGAGTCAATAATCTCTTTGATCTGATATTCTCTTTCACTCTCTAGTGCTTTGTGAACAGAGTGATGAGTCACAGAGTTCTCTTCTGAGAATTTCTTATATTCACAGAGCAAAGAGATATGAAAAATATTATATATCTGTAACTCAGGTAACAGTTTCAATCTGTAGAACTGTGAGCTAACTTTCTTCATAATCTTATAAGACTCTGTCTGTAAGAGATTCAGCTTCTTGCTAGATCTCTGTATAATAATATTTTCTAGACTCAGTCAGACTCTATCATCTTTCTTAAAACTCTTTGTAATATGCTTAAAGTCATAGTATCTCTTCTGATACTCTTAGGTCTTTCTCAAGAATTTACAGACTTTCTCCTGAATCTTCTGAATTCTCTCAGCTCATTCACAGGCATCATCACACTCTATAGTGTACTCTCACAGGTTCATCAAGATCATCTGCAGATGAGTCTCAGTGAGCATCTCAAAGAGAGTTTTACCTGTGCTGACATGCTTTGAGTTGTTATACACAAACTTCATAAGTGATAATCAATACACTCAGTCATTCTGATTGTAATTGATAAAGCATCACAGATACTGTTTTAATATACTTATCAGGTGTTCTGTCTGATCATCTGTCTGTTAATAAAAAGTTATACTTAGATCTTATGAGATCTTCAGTATAGTTATCAGATCAGATCAGAACTCTTCTATAAAGATTGATTCTCTGTCTGAGACAATGTTCACAGATAACTCATACAACTGAATCACATTGCAGACAAAGATATGAGTCAAATTCTTTGACTTCAAGTTCTTGTGAGTGAGTATAAAGTGTGTTATCTTGATAAAGCAATTCACTATCATCAGCACACTGTTAAAGCAGGCATTATATATGTTCTTGCTTTCAGAGAGGCTCACAAGAGCATTCATTTCTAGCTGTTTCCAAGATTTCTGCAGAATGAGTAGAAGAGTGAGTTCTTTATATAATCTAAATCACACTATCTGTGAACTCTGATAAACAGTATAAGAATTCACTATCTTCTTCACAAGTTCTTGCATCTTCAGTCAGAAGTATTTTCTTATAAGTAACTCATGAGTTCTAGTATCTGTAAAATGACTCACTAGAGAAGAGTTATAATACCTTTTGATAAGTTCTATGTGTAGAAACTCATTCACAGATATATAAATCTAGCCCTCTCTTTGTAAGAGATTATTTAAGTCTCTTCAATTCTTTATTTCTGCAGAATTGATCCCTGTTATAAGCAGTTTCTGAATATACTGAGTATATTCATTCTTCAGTTGTAGTTCAGACAATCTGAATAGAAGATCTTATAAAGACTTATACTCTGTTTTCTCTTGTATCAGGTCTTTCACAGCACTTCTCAAAGCTCACAAACTCTTCAGATTATAGATACTCTCTTCAAGAATTCTTGCAGAGATTCTCAGAGTGTTGACTCTCAGTGTTATAGAGAGTAGTTGTACAGACTTCTTCTCTCTCTCTTCTCTCTTCTCTTACAGAGAATTGAGAGACTTTTCAGTCAATCTCTTCATAACACTCAGTCTGAGCATTCTGTAAAGCTTTTCTGCCTTCTCTAGTCTCTCTGTATCTGTCATCCTGGTCTTCTTAATATAGTCTAGCCTGTAAGAGAGTCTGTCTGCTGAATTCTTAGTTCTCTTAATATATTCTATCTTGAATCAGAACTCACTCAGTCTCTGAGCTCAGTGAATCTGCTGCTGTGAGAGTTTCTTAATTGAAGTAAACTATTATAAGCTATTATAATCAGTTCTAACAGTAATCACTGTCATGAGATTCTCAAAGTAGTAATATCAGTGACAGAAGAATTTCACTATCATGAGAAGCTTCTGATTATGAATGTTATAGTTGATCTTCACAGATTGCATCTTCTATGAGAAAAAGATCACTGAAACTCAGTTCTCATTTAACTGTAGTTATAAGACTATTTCTGAAATTATAAAGAAGAAGACATCTGTCTTCAATCTGATTAAGAGTAAGAAATCAAAGTGAAACAGTATCACTGTATTTATAAATATCTGTTTCAATCTTGTAAAGACTCTGTAAGCTTCTGAAATAAGAAAGTTCTCACAGTTCTCTCTTCTTAATAATCTTTTCATTCTCTGTTCATAAGATGACTTCTTCTTATTTTCATTCTTCAGCATGTCTGTAAGAGTCAAGAAGATTCTCATGAATATAAAGATAAATCATCTATAGAAATTCACAAAGCTCAGAAAGATCTGAATCTTATGAATACTAGTTAACTTCAGTTATGATAGAATAGTCTTAATCTGCAAAGATTTCATCTGAATATTATTCACAGTGATTATATATTCTAGGAAATTAATTCAGCAGACACTGAAGTTGTACTTTGTGAGCTTAATATACAGTTCTGTCTTATCTAAGGCCTTTAATATGCTTTGCACATGCTCAGTGTGTTCTTTCTTCTTCATGAAGTACATCATCACATTATTCAGATATATTACTATGAAGACATTCAGATATATGTGAAGTATTTTGTTAATGAAAGACTGGAATATCACAGAGATATTAGTCAGATCAAAAGACATCACTAGATATTCAAATAATCTCAGTGCAGTTCTAAAGACAGTCTTTCATTCATTCTCAGACTGTATTCACAGTTATGTATATATATTGATCATATTCAGTTATGTGAATATGACAGCTTCTGTAAGACAGTTAATCACATTCTTAATCAGAGACAGAGAGTAGCAGCTCTTTATTATCTTGAAGTTCAGATCATAGTAATCTACACATAATCTGAGATCTTCATTCTTCTTCTTCACAAACATCACAGAGGCTTCTGCAGAGGCCTGTGAAGATCAGATAAAGTCATTCTTCAGATTCTTCTTTACATAGATTCACAAGATCTCTGTCTCATGATGAGAGAGTTTATAGATTGATTCTCAGAAGAGTTTCTGCTCTTCTATCAAATTTATTATCAGATTCTTCTCATGATGAGAAGAAAGCTCAGCTGCCTTAGCTGAGCTGAATATCTCTGTGAGATCTCAGTATTTCTCTGATATCTGAAGCTCAGTTTTCATGACTGCAAGATTCTCAAATACTTACAAAGTTATTATATAGATGAGCTTGTCTTCTCTAATCAACTCTGCAGCATCAACTGCTTCTATCTTCATAAGTAAGTCTGTCAACACTGATCAGAAGTATAAACCTGACTTGCAGACAGCTATGTGTGAATTGTGTCTTTGAAGTCATACAAGTTTTAAATACATATCATCTGTGATGTTCATAACAATCACAGTTTCTGCAAATCTTCTTCAGATTTCAGAGAGATCTTGCAATTCAAAGATGATTCTTGTAAGTCTTTCAGTTCTCAGATCTGAGTTCTCACACTCTGCTTATTGCAAGAGCAGGTTCTCAGTCTTCATCTTTCAGCTCATTTACTTCACAAGCTTTAGAGACATCACAGTGACCTGAGATCCTGAGTTCATCAATGCTTTTCATACTTATGAGACAGCAGTATCACAGCACAGTCTCTCTCTGTAAGCAAGTATTTTCATTGAGAAAACAACAGATTCAGATATCAGCTTCAAGACTCTTAAGAAGGCTGTTGCTGACTCTGTTCATGACTTCTCAAATTCCTATTTTAATTTGTCTAGACAGTTTGCACAGAGATGTTCTGATTTAGAATAGATGAAGCAGAGTCTCTTTTTCTTGATCTCTCTGTTATACACTCTGTTCACAGAAGCTTATAAAGCTCTTTCTCTCTGCTCAGCAGTCAGATATAAATCTCTCTGTATCTTATCATCTTTTTCTAACAAATCTGTTCTCTGTTGTTCTGATTCTTATAGAACTGATTGATGATTCACTCTCTGTAGATCTGTGACTCTCACAGTGATCTGCAAGTGATGAATAAGAGTTATCAGTTTCTTCAGAGTCAAGGACTTAGAGTCTTACTCAATGAGCTTGTTCTGCATATCTTTATTCAGTCTCTTTACAAATATCATCATTCAGATCTTGTTTCAGAACTCTGTTTTCACAGATCTTAATTTATATCATAATTTTATGAAGTGCTGTAAGTAGTCTTCATCAGATTTCTCACCTCTTTTTCTAATGTTAGTGATTGCAGCTCAGATGTTCTCTGTTCAGCTCACAGAGTTTCTCAACTTATTCTCTAGATAGGTCTTAAGAACAGATCATTGAGATCTCTCATGATTATTCTCTAGATGATTCAGCCAGTTCTTGACTTCAGTGTAATAGAGATCTGTCATTATGTAGATGACAGCTTCTTCATCTTTCATATCACATAGCTGGGCTTGCAAGTCAATTTCAAATGCAAACTTGTAAAAGCTTTTATAGATTGTGATTTGATAGATGGCCTTAAGTGATTGTAGCTTGAGAAAGTTTCTTTTCAGTTCATGAGTGTCTCTGAAGATCATGTCTAGAGACTCAGTTTGAGAGTGTTTGCAGGCAGTAAGTATTCCTTGTAGAAAAATAGCTTGATTTCATGAGAGATGCTCAAGAATGTTCTTCACTGAGATTGATTTGTTCATGGGTTCAGAGGATTTCTCTGTCACAGATGCAGAGGATGATGTCCCGCGAGTGGTTGGTAAGTCCTCTGGGACTTCTTTCACAGGGGTTATTCATGATTCAGGTGGCTGCTCCTGGGTGTCTGCAGTAGAGTTTGCAGGGATTGAAGCATGCAAGTTTCTAGTTCTTTCAGTCATAACAGGCAGTTGCTGACTGACTGAGCTTGAAATGTAAGAATAAGTGCTTGCAGGCAATTATTCAGGTGTTTGCAGCTTGGCATGATATGTACTGTTAACTACTAGAAGTATTCACAGTAGAAAGATAAATGTAGAGATTAAATGTATCATAGCATTTAAGCTGAGTTGTGAATAGTATTCGCGAATTCCAGTCTATATAGTTGTGTGTAGTCAAGGGCCGCTA